TCGTTTAAGTAGTTTCGCACGATCGTTGCGTTGTGGCATGGTGCACCATCATTCTGGAACACCATGTTCCGTCTGGCTTCCAGGCTTGAATCTTCCAGCAATAATGGTAGGCTATTTTCAAGGAAGCTTTTGTAGGCTACCGAATCCAACCTTGACGGCAGTTCAAATGGACCGATAAATTCCATATTGAATATTCCTGACCACATGTTCACACTAAAACGGTGTTGAAATGTCGACGGCCTTGAGTGGTGGGGGTTTTCAACAGCCCAAGTATGTAAATTATGGATATTGAATATCCCTGTTCTTTCAAAACGTGACTCGTCAGTCCATAAAATTTTATCAAAAAAATCGGGATCCTCTCGTTGTCTTCGCAGCATTGTCTCGCAGAAATCCACTCTTAACTGGTAATCTGAAGGCATCAACGCTTGAACTCTTTGAACATGATAGGCATGATAACCTTCTTCATGAAGAATATTTTGTATCGATGTTCGTGGTATTCTAAGGTTTTGTGCCATAGATCTCGTACTCGTTGAGGGATTCCGGCTAATTTCTTCAAGTACTACTTCTCTGCGATTCGGATCAGCTGTAGGATATCCTTCATTGCTTCCTCGTCCTGGAATGCGGCCTGCCATGAAAGTGTTATGTGTGTTAATAAAAACACGGTGGTCTGGGTAATGCTCAGGTTGTGGTCCGCCTCGGCGTATAAGTTGTTCCCGGTACAGCTGAGCTGCTAAAGCGCCGTTGCCTTGAGCAACGCCATAATAATAATGCATTTCTGCATATTCACGCAACGTATAATGCATCACAAACTTCTTAGCAAACAAAGTCCAAATCAGTATGCAAAGCAGAGTCCCGGAATATCCAATTTTTTAGAGCACGAGGTTTCGGCTGATATGGCCTCTTATTTCGTCTGCAGGTGACTTAGCCTTTCAGGGTTATTTATACCAGAACGGCTGACGTGTCCTGTGCCGTAGATGACGTGGCTGGTCGGTGGTGATGACGTGTCCTCTGTTGGTTGGCCTAACCAGAGCCTGAACATGGTGTTCCAGAATGATGGTGCACCATGCCACAACGCAACGATCGTGCGAAACTACTTAAACGAAAGGTTCCCAGACAGATGGATCGGACGAAACGGACCGATACGATGGCCTCCACGCTCCCCTGACCTCAACCCCATTGATTTTTTTGTTTGGGGACATAACATTCGCCCAAGAATGTGCAAATGAAAATTCATTGAGGAACAAAATTCAAGAAGCGACACATGTGTTGAAAAACAACACACAAGCATTTAGAGATTTAAAACAAAATTTCATACGTAGGTGTACACTGTGCATTTCTGTTAGAGGCAGACATTTTGAAAACCTCTTGTAAATAACATAAATGAATAATAATCTGCTGTTCAGTAAAAATCAAACGTGTTTTTGTGGTTTTTGCAAATTTTTTTTCCGAAACTAACAATTTCTATTGAGCAGAGGGTTATCCAATTTTGGGTTCGGTTCTATTTGAGCCACAATTACGGTAGCATGTAGTAAAGCTAGGTTGATGAAATTTTTACGGTAAATAGCTGATACCGTAAGGAAGTTTTTAAGATACTTACGAATAGTAAGAACATGTTTTTTCAATTTTTTATAAACGTTCAAAGTTGTTGCACTTTTTTACTTTTTTCTTATGTTCGAAGATTTTGAAAAAAATTAAAAAGTAGTATTAGTTACATGACTTGAATGATTATATGATAGTTAAGCCTTAGGTCTTAGCTACATAATCGTGAAAAAAGCAGGCATTTATCACAATTATTAACGAAGTTATGGTAAAAATAAACACAGAACTCAAAAATTCTCGAAAAATCCGAAAAAAAATCATAACTCCTAAACTAAACAAAATCGGACCATATATATGGGGGTGATTTGGGTTCCTCTCGATGTGGGGAATCTAATTTTTTTTATGACGTCACGTGTTTGGCCACCCTGTATATATATATATATATAAAAAAAGATAATATGCAATACAAAACAGAACATACGAGAGCATGGCCAATACAGTTTTTATGACTAATGCAGTTTTTATGAGAGCACAATTCATGCAAAAAAGAACAAGGCGACTTAAAAAGAAACATACTGGGACATTATCCTTTAAAACGTAGCGAGGTTTGCTTTTACTTTAGGCCCTTGGTCGTGCCGGAGATCAGCTTTCAATCTTTTTTTAAAATTGCGGAGGCTCAGATTCTTGAGATCTACTGCCAAGCTGTTATACAGTTTCGCAGCATTGTATGAAAAGCTGCGCTTAAACAGAGCTGTTGAATGTTTAGGAATAACTAAAAGATGTTTATTGCGAGTTACTTTATTATCAGGCAGTCTGGAAAGTTTATTGTATAGATAAGTAGGTGTTCCACTAGTAACGATCTTGTGTACTGATGAGAGAAAATGAAGTTTTCTTATGTTAATCATGGTAAGCCAACCAGAATCCATAAGGCTCTCACTGATGTGGTCATACTTTCGGATACCATATGCAAACCTGATGCAAGAATTTTGAATTCGCTCAATGCGTAGAATATCTGTTTGCAAAAGGGCAGGTCCATATATGCAGTCACAGTAAGCCAGTTTAGACAAAATCAAAGCTTCACATAGTTTGACCTTCATGAATTTTGATAATATACTCCTGATGGGATAAAGTTGTCTTAACACGTTATAGGAGACTTGGCACAAGTAACTAACATGTTTTGTATATCTTAGATCAGAGTCCAGCCATATGCCAAGATTTTTGTATTCACTGATTATTGGCAAAGATACATCATTTATAGTAACTGAAAATGTGCCATGCAGATTAGGTCTTTTATTTTTATTGCCAAAAATCATGACTTGTGATTTCTTCGGATTTAGCTGTAAATTATGTGCTATAGATACGTTATATAGCGATTTTAAATCTTTATGATAATGATGTAACTGAGAAAAATTAACAAAATCATGAAAGTCACTTGTGTATAAGCTGGAAAGGAGTGGACCCAAGACCGAACCTTGTGGAACACCGAAAACCTTATTCAACGAGGAAGAGTAATTATCATCTATCACTGTACTCTGAGTGCGATTTTTTAAGTAGCTCTCAAGAAGTAGAACCGAGTTATAAGAAAAACCGAAGTATATCAATTTTGTGAGAAGCGTGTCATAGTCTAAGGTGTCGAAAGCTTTGCTGAAGTCGAGTAACACAAGACAAGTGCAATTACCTTGATCAGTTGCTCTAATAAGATCATCCGTAATCTTCATTAAAGCCGTGGAGGTGCTATGATGAGGACGAAAACCTGACTGGAAGCTAGTAATAATATTATTTTGAATAGCATAGGTAAGCATTTGGTCTTTCATGATGAGTTCTAGGAGTTTTGATAGGATAGGCAGAATACTAATCGGTCTTAGGTCAGAGAGCTCATCAGGTGAGTTACATTTAGGTATTGGCCTCACCAAAGCATGGTTCCATGCAAGAGGAAATGTTCCAGATGTGATTGAGAAATTTAAAATAAACGTGATATACTCTATCAAATCAGAGGAAACTAATAGTAACATACGTAACGAAATATTACCCGAGCCTACAGCATTGCTTTTAATTTTATTAAGAAATTTGAACACAGCGTGGGAACTAACTGTTGTGAATCTAAAAGAATCTTCATGAACTTGCATTACGTGGGTATCGTATTTTCTAAGCATATCAACTTGAAGTTGACTTTTAGCCAGATTTGGGGCGCTATTAAAATGTGCGTTCACAGTGTTGCTATTCTTTAACTTGGGTGGTAGTTCAGATAACTTTTTTTCGCGCAGAATCTCCAAAGATCTAAGTGAGTTTCATGTTGATTTTTGATTTCTTTTGGTGAGGGTATAACTCAAATACGCAGCTTTCTCTCTTCTGATCGCACCAGTAACATAATTCCTTAACTCCTTATAGTAGTTGTAAGCCGCTGTACTTTTAATACATTTATATTTTTTAAAAGCTTTATCTCTAAGTGACATCATTATTTTTAAATTATATGTACGCCAAGGAGCAGGCGGCTTACTAACCCTCACTTGACGATAAGGTCCGTGGCGATTAAAGAGAGTTTTAAGATTTACTTCAAGATGATCCACCATAGAGTCTACATCTGGTAGTGTGTAGATGAAGCTCCAATTAACAGAATGTAGATCGTTATAAAATAAATCTGCGTCAAACTTTGAATAATCGCGGTATCTTAAAAACTTCTCATATCTACTCGCCTGAGGGAAATTAATTTTAAAAGTCAAAACGCAATGATCTGAAATACCAACATCAAGTGTATCGACAGAAGTGAAGTCATCCGGATCACCTACTATGATCAAATCTATAAATGTACTCATAGATTTGGTTATTCTAGTAGGAGATTCAATAAGCTGTGTCAAATTATATGCCTCAAGGAAATCATACAACAGCTTGGTTTTACGATCTAGATTTAAAATATTTATATTTAGATCACCAGTTATAGCGAACAAATCACTATCTGGTAGAAAAAGATCCACAGCTGACTCCAATTCGCGAAGCATGTCCACAACATTAGCAGAAGGGGGGCTGACTGTTTCTGCCCCCTGGCTATCTTCAAGTGTTATATGGCTATATTTGTGCCTTTAAGTTTATATGCGCTCTTTATTATTTTTTGTTTAACGATGTAACGATTTAACTAATTCTAACTTGACTGGCCTCGGTGTGTTACTCTTTGCTATTCCAATTCGACAGATGTTATTAATGTCTGACTCAGTGATCGTAGCTGCACGATTTGAATGCAAGAATGCTATTATGTCCTTTAGTAAATCTTCGTTCTGTGTTTCCTCAAGTCCGAATAATATTATGTTATTCTTCAGTTCCTTTCTTCGAAGGACAACAACCTGTTGCTTCAAATCGGCGTTTTCTGTTTCCAGGTCCTTTATTCTAGAGTCTATGTCGTCTATCCTATTCCTCTGTGTGGCTAGAGATTCCTTTACCTCTTTAAGATCACTTCTTATTTCTTGTAGGATGTTAAGGATCTGGTTAGTAATTTCACCCTGATCTTCCATACTATATTCTCCAAGAATCACAACAAAAGATCACTCGAATCAAAATAGTGCATTAAATTACAGAAGGAGCATTTACTGCCCAAGGTCTTGATGGTTTCATGCAGATATGCTTCTTAAAAAGCGTAGTGTAAGATCTTACTATTTAGTTCGATCTTGTGCCCTCGATTTCGAAAGGTTAATGTAGACACAGGTTAAACACAACCGAACCGTATGAAGACTACACCATCTCCTAGTATATTTTGGGAAAAAGGCTCGATAACGCAATTTTGAGTTCTAGGGGACGTGTTTTCATCTATAGACGTATAGAATAGAGGGTGATCCAAAAATAAGATGTTACACTGTAGATTTTTAAATGGAACCCCGCATTTTTTTAAATTCAACACAACGACTGAAGATAGGTATAAATTTTGTTATACAAAAATTACTGAAAACTTCATCGAGAATCTAAAAATAAAAAAAGAGGGTTTCCATTTAAAAAGTGTAACGCAATATCTTATTTTTGGATCACCCTGTATTGTACGGCTATAGATGAAAAGACGTCCCCCTAGAAATCAAAATTGACTTGTCTGAGCGTTTTTCTGTTAGGCCACCCTGTATGTACAGTTAAAGTGTTTATTTGGCTAGTTTATAGACACACTATAGACACCCCACATATACAGGGTGTAAACGTTATGATAGTCATTATTGAAATAGGTAATAAGTAAAGTAAAAAACTTCATATGACCCATGGTCCAAAAGTCAATATATTTTTGTCTAAATGGCTTTATAGTTTACAACTTTATGTGCGTTATATCTACCACAATCACCACAATCTTACTAATTTTTTATAATCTAATCTAAAACGTTTTTAAATTGGGTAATTGACAAATAAATGGCATTTAGTCTTTCTAAGTTAAGCCAAAATTTGTAGTCACTAAGTAAGTAAGTTTCATTTAATTAAATATTTGAAACACACATGACACAGCGCGTCGGTCATTCATCACTCTTATCGAACCGGAAATCGATCGCAAACGGTAACAGTGGTTAGTTATTGTTCGCGTACGTCGTCGTGTTTATTTACAATGTTCTCGAATCAAGAGTTCGCCGACATGTTGTTAGTTTACGGTGAAGCTCGTCAGAATTCAAATCTAGCAGCTCAAATTTATCGCGACAGATTTCGACAACGGGTACACCCAGACAGAAGGACATTTGTGCAAGTGTACCAAAGACTTCAAGATACAGGAAGTGTTCAGCCCACTAATATTCGCACTCGTGAAACACAGGTTACTGTAGAGCAGGAGGAACAAATTTTAAATATCGTGGAAATCAATGAAGATATCAGCACTCGGGAATTAGGCCGCCGCGTAGGACTATCGCATACCATAGTCCATAGATAGATAGATAGATACATTTATTGTCTTGTAGATCATAAAAAATGATATGACTCGTCCTAAGAGGGAGGTACATAGTACACATAATTAAAAATAAAAACGAAACAAACATAAGTATTTACAAAGTACAAACAGGCACAACTTAAGGCGTACAGATATTCACATATAAAAAAGGTTAAAAAATATATCACAGTGCGAGGTATTCAGACAAAGAGTAGAAACATTTTTCAACTAATAATTTTCGTAGTTTACATTTAAAACTAGCAATACTACTGACATTCCTGAGGTTAGCTGAAAGTTTGTTATATATTCCTACGGGAAAATTTGCTTTATCCCTACCATGTACAACGAGTGCAGGCCTTGTTACCAGAAGACCAGCCTCGCAGACTAACATTCTGTCAGTGGTTTTTGCACAAAAACATTGAAAATCCGGATTTTTTTAAAAACATTCTAGCGACGGACGAATGTACTTTTACGCGAGACGAGATATTAGATTTCCATAATACTCACACGTGGGCCCAAGAAAATCCTCATACCATTCGTGCAGGTCATTCCCAACAACGTTTTAAAATAAATATTTGGGCGGGTATTCTTGACGATCAGGTAATTAGCCCTTTCGAGTTACCCCCAAAGTTGTCAGGAGAAGGATACCTTAGCTTTCTAGCCAATAACTTACCAGAACTTTTGGAACAGACCTTAGACAACATGCCATTACAACGGAGACAGAATTTGTGGTTTCTTCATGACTGGGCACCTCCACACATTTTTAGAAGCGTCATTCAGTATTTGAATGAACATTATCCAAATCGCTAAATCGGTCAAAATGCTGATCCTCGAAAATGGCCAGCAAGATCTCCTGACCTCAATCCGATCGATTTCTGGTATAGGGGAGAACTTAAACGGATGGTTTATGGGGCTGGTCCAATAACAACTGAAGCACAACTTCGCGAAAAAAAATTTAATGTGGCTGAAATAATAAATGGACAACTTCGAGGACCTAGAGTAAGAAGAAACTGAGTTCGTCGTAATGAAGCTTATGTGGAAAGTGGAGGACGACATTTTGAACACCTTCTTTAAATACAAAAAAGTTCAGTGTGGGTTTTAAAAAGAAAAACAATGTATGTATCAAAATTGTGTTCCCTAATTATAAGTGGAATTTTTTAATACGTTCAATAAACTTTACACGCTGTATACACTTACTTTTTTCAAAGGATTTCATTATCTACCAGCCGCAACTAGGAATAAAAAAATCATCAAGCATGTTGAAAAAAAACTGTGCTTTGACTTCCTCGCGACTACCAGTGGAAAAGAGCCGAAAACAAAAACAAAACTAGAACAAAGCGTCGCTTGCTTGATGGAAACAAGCGCTTTGGGTTTGTTTCAGTTTTGTTTTTGTTTCTCTGATGCTAGAAAACACAAACGCAATATAAACTCAACTGTCCGTTTTGTAGAAAACCGTCATTAGATGAATCAATCAACGTGAACACCGAAGATATATCCTAACGTGAATAATACGATAAATTACATGGAACACGCATCTACCGGGCGTCAAGTAATTAATTTTTTTAGCGAAAAATCATAATAGCGTATCTAAATAACCAATAAAGAGGAGGCATTTTAATGAAGGCGCGGCCGAATTTATCGCGGCCGAATTTGCACCGGCGTTGTAGCTGTTAATTCTAGGGTACGGGCTGTAGAAAAAATCCCAAAGATAATTATGGCTGTTCAGATCTTGCGGCTAAATGGCGGCGCGCGGTGCGTTTATTTTCAGATAGGAGGTGATACTTTTTTACCTTACTCGTTATTACGGTACTAAGGGCCAATTTCACCAACAACAGTCCGTTGTTCTCCACCTATAGGGTAACAGACCGTCAAATACAGCGAATGAGCTTCAAGTTCCAATCAACAAATTTTAGCAACCAATAGCTATGAAATGTTGAAAACAAAATACTGTCAAAGTATGAGATGACATCTTGTCATTGAAACATCATCAGCTTAATGAATATTCAGAAATTACATATAATTCAGTCAAAATTTAAACGAATGTATGATTTTTGAATAAAATTCATGATTTAATTACTATTGTTGATTTTTTATTCATGTTTATATTATTTTCTTCAATTGATATGCGATTCTACTGATTCAAGATCATCTACTGGATGTTTTTTCCTATAAACCTCTTGTAGATAGCCATTAAGCACCTACTTGATGACTGGCTCTACCAAGAAGTTCAATAGATATTGCTTGTTTCCAAACATTCACTCATTTACTTGCCGTTCATCAGAACCATTATGGTACCTTAGATTGATATTCCCACAAAACTATTCTGGTTTTTTAATATCCATACATCCATAAAGTTGAATATTTTTCGTTGTTCAGGAACTTAACAAACATCCACACTATATTCACAGCGATTAAGAAATACCCAAATATATGTCGTAGAGCTACCAGCAAACCTAAAACCTGCAGAAAAAATAGAAATTTGCAATATTTTTCTTATATATTCTGGGTTATATTTATATTAGACGTTATTTGAATCACAAAACATATACACTGATTTGAATAACAGCTGATTATCTCCTGATATTTTAAAACTAACCATATCGACAAGTGACAAATAATTCTGTGGGATCCGTCAACACTTCGTCCCAGTGGAGCAAACTCTGCCAACTGTCGAAATAAACTTTATTAATTCCAAGTCTTATTTTTGTTTTACTGTGCCTGCTTAGATATTCAAATACGGCCAGGAATTATTAGCACCTGGCTATTTTAGGCCTTCAATAACTCCTTATTTTAGATCTCTCCTTATTTTGTTTTTTCCACGCATTCATGGTAGAAAGAAAAATATCACTGGACAACAAATTTTAATTTTTTAATTGTATCTTGTGGGAAAAGTGCACTTCTTTGTTAATTTTGGGGCGCTGAATCCAAAAATTACAATGAAATAAAAAAATTAGTTGCGGTTTAGAAAAATAACTTTTTGCTGTTCTTTCATGGATCGTTTCTGGAGCGTCTCTACCAGGAGTCCAACAGTAGTCTGCAAGTATGGAAGGATTCCACTTTCCCTGATACCTTTTTTCCATTGTTGAAATATCCTGATGAAAACGTTCGCCGTGCTCATCACTTACGGCTCCGCAATTGTCAGGAAAAAAGTCCAGGTGTGAGTGTAGGAAATGTATCTTAAGAGACATATTACAGCCCATCTTTTGATACGATGACAGCATATTTTTGTCAAGGGTCTTATAGTTGTCAGCTTTTCTATTTCCCAAGAAATTAGTGACCACCAGACGGAAATCATTCCAAGCAGTTTTTTCAATACCTGTTAAAGTGTTTTCAAACTGTGTATCTTTCAAAATATTTCGAATCTGTGGCCCAACAAAAATACCTTCTTTAACCTTTGCCTCACTTAGTCTTGGAAATTTCTGACGCAGGTATTGAAAAGCTGACCCATCTCTATCTAATGCCTTGACAAAGTTTTTCATTAGGCCCAACTTGATATGCAGTGGTGGTAATAAATTTTTTTTCGAATCTACTAATGGCATATCCTGTACATTTTTTGACCTGGCTCTAGGAATTGACGAACAGGCCAGTTTTGTCTGGTGT